CGATCCGAGCTTGAGGAACGATGCTGTCAGGTGCGTTGCCACTGCAGAAGGGGAAGGGGTGCGGCTGATCCGTGGCCCCTCATTTGGATTGCACAAGCTCTTCAATCAGGCACTGGATCTCATAGGTCCAGTCCGAATGGTGTGAGTTCGCTTTGCCCTGCGCTCACCTCCATTCTACTCGGTGCATGAGTGAGCTCCTGCTCCCTACAGGAGTGGACCTTACGGAGGCGCTGTTGATCAAGCTCGAGGGGATACCGGGATATCCCCCGTCCTTCGTGTATAACCAATAGGCGAATGGTATCAAACCGACCCCTCGATTCGGCACAAAAGGACATCAACTGTAGATCACCGCAGAAAACCCGTGCTGAGGATCACTCACGCAGGCTTCTGCGCTGACATTGAGGAGGGGAGGTGTTCTTGGAAGCTGGTCGAACGTGTGGTTTCTTGGAAGCTGGTCATAGTTGGAACATCTCACACGTCAAAAGAACAATCACAGGAACGATGCAACATGGCATGCATTTCTTGAAATGGATTGCATGTGAGTTTGAATTACGGGAGGTTTCTCTCCACAGACGGTTTCACCTGCCTGCGTGGCTACCCTTCTGAGGATGTTGACCCCAGAACTGATCATGAAGAGGTAGAACTGATCATGTATTGTGTGATGCGTTGTATCATGATTTATCAAAGTTTATAGCAGAAGGGTTCATGTAAAGCTTCCCTAGCCCGCAGGAAAAACACACCACTTCCCAAGCCCTGAGGAATCTTGCCCATGCCACATAAGGGAGGATCTTTGTGGTGAGCCTGGCTGCGGTCTTGTGTTTCTCCCACCGTTTCGACTTTCTCCCAGTCCCTTCGGTGGAGGAGGCGCTGGAAGATGAGGGTGAGTTGAAGACGTCCAACAGCTCAGTGGAAAGTGGGCCAACGTGCTTCCAGATTAAAGGGGAATGAAAGCAGAAACAAACTAGGAAGCACATCACTCATGTGTTAAGCAGGTTGTGTTGGGATGAACTTCCTCCAAACCTTCCGGACAGGGGAGAGATTGAAACAGTCGCGAGCTCCATGGTAGAGGATTGAACTTTGTTTCCCTACCAGCTTTCAGGGAGCCCATTCATACAAACTTGAAATGACAAAAATAGCCTTCGAAGTGGGGAGCAGCAGCTTTCCCGTGGTGTATCATGAATTTGCCCTTCCGCGGGAGGTTACTTTGGACTCTGACACTGATTCAGTAAATTTCCCCCAAAAGTTTGTTCATAAGCTTTGGATAGTCAGTGTTGAAGTGTTTTTTCTTGAATAGCTTGTTTGGTGTCCAAAAGCAATGCAGCAACACATTCAAGGCGGGAACAATGTTTGCAAGCGTTATGTCATGAATGCCGCAAAGATTCAAGAAGGGAACCATGCTTTTATGTGTTTTGTAATGTATGCTGCAAAGCAACAAGGACCAAACCAAGAGCTTAACACTACATGTGTAAATGTGTCCACTAAAAGTTTAGATGTGCACTTTGCAAAGGATACATGAAGTGTTCAAAAGAACAGTGCTCACTTAATTCTTACATTTACATGGGTGCAAAACATCGCGGGCGTTATTGACAAGGACCAACTTGAGGTGTTAAAAGTTGACAAAGTGATGTTGTTGACTGAATGTTCATATAACTATCACAATTATAAACTACAATGATAATTATGAGATGTTAAAACTTATTATGTCTAAGACTGATTGACATGTTTGGAAACCATCACAAGCACAAGCAACAAGGACCAAAATGAAAGGTTAACAGTTAATGTGTTCACAATGTTTACATGTTTGGTGGTTACAATGGCATGGTTTCTGCAAGGTTTCTTTGAGGAAGTCTTGAAGTACAATTATTGCTGGATGTCTCCTTGCACCATCAAGAACTAACTTATTACCATCTATTACCTGTAGCACTGTAGTAGTAAGTAAACAATTATCACATTTTTTTTCAACAAGGCCTTTACAAACCATCATTATCCACTGTTGCTGGCAATATAGGATAGACCCAAGGTATGATGCGTATATATGTATATCCCGGTTGGAGCTTGGCTTTGCTTTCTGTTGCTCATATATCCATCACATGTATGTATGGAGTTACAAAACTTGTTCTGCGACTGCTGGATGAAAATTCTGGTATGGACTTGCATTAAGGCATGGATTGCTCATCAAGTTCCGGCCATACCAAGACCAATTATATAGACAGATTATTTGGATATGTTTAACTCCAATGTGGAGATAAGGTGCCTTCTTTGCAAACGTTTCAAGCTCGCAACTGAGAGAACTGCACATGGAGTTGCGGCCCAGACTTTTGTTCAAACGATCGATCACATCCAGCATGAAGATGCACCATTTCTGTCCGACCAAAGAGTTCCCCACCGAGAACCAGCGAACAGATACAGAACCAGCGACGGAGCGAACGATAGCGGTAGCATGCGGAAGTCCCATGAGAGAGAGTCCAAAACGGGAGTCCAAAGGGGACGTCGAACATCTTGACCGTCCCACACCTGCTACAACACAGTTTAAGCATGTGTACGAAGCACGGGAATCATGAACCTCAGGAAGGAAGTCCAGGAGTCGAGACCCCAAATAGCAAGGTAGTATACGAAAAAGAAGGGTGCAGGCAGGTATGATGTCATGCGCATACGAACTGCTGTCCGCAAACAACATGATTGCCAGCACTGCCATCGGCAATGATGGCTTTTTGTACATGTGCCTTCCATACAGTAGGCTGTTCTCCAACACGGTCTAAGGCGGCCCAACACCGCCCGAACCTGATCCAGCATCGTCCCATTATAGGCACATAAAGGCCTAAGATGGCTCAAGATCGGCTCAACATGAGGCCAACATGAAGCCATGATAGCCTAACATGGCTCCCAACACGATTCAACATAGGCAAGATACCGTCAACGTAGCCTTACATAGTCATACCCCAAAACAACGGACCCAAATTCTCCCCCCAAGAGCAACATTTTACTGCCATTTACAGAGTTTTCTTCACTTTTCCAGCATTTTCCAGCACATATAGCAGGCTGCCTTTCCGTTGTTTGTTCGCATATCTTCACTACTCCCTGTGCCTGAATCACATTGAACACATTGATAATTAATAATTGACCCCATGTCAACCAGCCCGATGTAGGTGAATGTTCCACACATGGACCGCCTGGGAAATTCATGCATAGACCACATACACCAACACAAAGCATGAGCCCAGTAGAGCCCAACACACCCGCGTTCAACTACGCATTCTGCGTTCTACTGCGACACCTGCACTGCACGCAGCCCTTTGAGCCTTGAACCCACATCCCCGAACCAGCCACACATGCCCCCACAGGCTCTGCCCCCTACGCCTCAACTGAGGCTCAACAAGACAGAACATGACCCCAGCGTAGCCTCAACATGAGCTCCAAAGAGCATTACCACGAACAACCTAAGCTATTTTGCTTTGTGGGACCCGAAATCGCACCGAAATGGCGAGGTTTGGTTTTTATGCAAATCCATCCCTTTGCTGCAATGCCACCTGCAACACAAATTCGCTCAAATTTACCGCTATTTGCGCATGAAACCCTTCTACCGAAGGTCCCTTGCAGACACAAACCGGGACCCACAAAAAAACAAAACATACCTTCTGCAAATCAACAATACCTTTTGTGGTGCGCTCGTGCACCCCCCTTACTGCTTCGCTCAACAACTCCCTGTGCTGTTCCAGCGCTTTCCGTCACAGATGCTGGATTCAACAAGTACTCTTTTGATAGATGTACATGTTCTTCAACCATGTCATTTAAAGGTTGAGGATGTTAAAGTTTGTGCACATGGCGTCCGGTCAAAAGTCTATAATCAAAAAATTTAGATGAAGGGGTCGAAAGTAGCTGATCATGTTGGTTTTTCAATTAGATTATGTAGCGGGCCCCCAGCTAAATATGCCTATTCTGCAGCTGGGCGCTAGGTTCGCGGTAGACCTGCGCTAGTGTTTAACAAGTCCAACTCCAATGTATGTTTTTAGTTCTGCTCTGATAACTAGCACCCTCTCCTTGCAGCTGGAACATGGTAGCGCATGATTGAGTGGATGAGTGTTTGAGTAACTGTGTATGCAAATATACCTCATCAGCATGACATTGACCAATCTGCAGGTGCAAGCACAGTTTGCGCAAGTTTTTGCAACGGTAGCTGGTTGTTGTTGTTGTTGTTGCTGGAGTGGTGGAGTTTGTGGAATTTGCTGATCTAATGCAGCTCCTTGCTGCCCAAGCTTCTTTGTGTCAACATGCCTTTCCCTCCCTTGCCGCGTTCGTGTGGTGTCGGGCGATGCCTGGGCGACTTGACGCTCATTTCCCGCAATGGCTACCAGCAGCTCACGTGCAGCCAGGCCAAGCACCACCGTGCATGGTGTGTGCGCAATGCCGATGGTGTCCGCTCATGGGAGTTCTCGACACGGGGAGTCAGCAACCTCAAAGGCACGGCAATTCCAGGCAACGATGATGAACATGCTAAGGAAAACCAAGTAGACCAAGGAACCAGGGACCATGACGCGTCTTCCCAGAACGCTTTTGTGCCTTGTTTTGGTTTTTGCGTTTTGCTTGTGCTTTACGCTTGGCTTTGCTACATGTGCGCCCCCAGAACTCTTCCATGTCTTTGCCCGGTTGCACGTGGGCATGTTTGCTGGTAAGGTGCCACAGCCTGACGGATGTGAAGAACCAGAAGCTGTAATAGCAACTGAGCGTGTTTTGCCACTTTTGGGTTGGCGCTACTAGTTAATTACTACTGAACTTCTGCGACCTGTGGTGTGCTTGTGTGTAGGGTGTATTGTCCTGTGTACTTAGAGGTTGTACCGAAGCTGCGCGGGAGCTTTAGACTTTTCACACTTTGCTTTACCACTTGTTCCCAATTCGTGCGACTAGAAGCGCTGTTTCGATACTAAGTTGTTTTGTTTTGACAGCCTTGCCAAGTCCAAATCTCACAATGAGAACTGAGGCACTTCAACAAGCTTTGCCAGCAAATGCACCATGTGCTTCGCAAACTGTACCCAACATATTTTCAGCACTTCAGCTTGCCAGAGGAAACGCAGGATCAGAAACCGTTAGAAGCATGTGCCGCATACAGTAGCTATTTGAACACCCACACGAAGAACCACCGCCAAGAGATTCTTGCAGCTGGTAAGAGCAGGCTGCTGTTGCAATTGCACGAGCAGGAGGCTGCATTTGAGAACGACTTGCGATGGGTGAAGAAAGTCTTGGGCGCCTATGATTTTCACAGGCGATGCGCTGATCGACAGAATGGTAATTTGGAACGAGGCATCGGTGCACTGCAGCAGCCACAAATTTTGCTGTGGCTGGACTGGAAACAGAATGTGCCTTCAGCTATGAGTAAGGTTTTTTGGTTGGTGATTGTGAAGTGTTGTCAGAGTCTGTGGTTTTTAACTGCTTTTGATGAGTGCACCCAAGGTGACGCTTCCTATCCAACATGTTGCTACTGGGGATTCCTTTTGGGCGCAAGCAAGGGCTGAATGCTCCGTTCTCGGAGTTGTGCTGTTCCTTCCACACCTTGACGGCAGTCTGGTGAAGAGAGGTGTGGTGCTTGTCAGTGAGTGCATAGAGCATACAGCCATAGCTGCTGGTGTTCAATCCAACATTGTGCGAGAGATGCTCGGTAACAAGGCCCAAGGTTCTCACTTGAAAGTGTGGGCAGACTGCGGTCCACACTACAGAAACGCTGACTTTATCAGCTATTTTGGTTTCGAGTGGGTGCTCAAGCTTGATTGCCGTGTCGCACTGTCTTACTTTACAGAGAAGCATGGCAAGGGTGCTGTCGACAGCTTGTTCTCAACAGTGAACCAATGGTGTGGACGATTTGCTAGGAAAGAAGGCACAAGCATTGAATCAGTGCCAGACTTTGTTTCTGCAATGCAGGAGGAGGCCCGCTTGGATCAAGCAAAAGACCCCAAGGGCTTGCAGTACACCATTGTGCACTGGAAAGCACCTTCCAAGCCTGTACAGGCATGGCGCGGTGTGGCCCCAAAGGGGTTCTACATCACCAGGACATATTGCTTGGAAGGCTCAGCTTACGGACTGCAAAGAGACCAATTACATTGGAAGAACCACAAGTTCAGTGATTTGACCAAGGGTGAAACCATCCAATTCCAATTCTTTAAAGAGCCAATTGATGACAGAGAGTGGCGAAAAGGTTTTTTTACGAACCCCAGATGGAAGAGGCAGTTTCCACAAAGACACAGTCAGTCAGCGATTTTGGAGCGACATGCCATGCTCCAAGACCATGATGTGGAGCTCCCTGACAAAGACGACTTGTCCAATAGGCTTGGTAGATATCAACGAGGTTTGCAGATCAAACGTGCCAGAGCATGCTCAATGCCATCCTTGGTTGGTCTTCATTCGACATGCAGAAGAATATGTTGTCACACTGCAAAACCATGAACAATATTTCTTAAAAACAAATAGTAATGAATTTGAGCTCAGCCAGAAAGGCTGCAAAGGCTAAGAGAGGGGGCCAAAGGTTGCCAAATTTGAGCCCTTGATGGAATACAGCATCTGGAGGTGGTACCCCAGATGGCTTTCAGTTTTTCTTGTTTTTTTGAATTGCTGCAACCAGGCCTGCAAAGGTCAAGACTCGGAGGTATATTTTGCAATGGCTTTGTCAGGACAGAGGTGACCAAGGCCAAACTTTGTTTCAGAAGGCCAAAGGACAAAGCGCAGCAACAATTCCACACTGGAGACTTTTGGCTGGCCGACTCAAAATATTCAAAATGATCTGGGGTACCACCTCCAGATCTTCTCCTCAGACCAAAGTTTAAGAACACTGTTTCCATTCTCCATTGCTGGCTCTACCCAGCATTCTCTCAGGGGGGCCTGCTGAGGCTCCAGGCTGACACCACTACTTCGGATGACTTTAATTTTCATGATGTGCTCAAGTGGGGGACTGCAACAGGCTCTTGGTGAACACATTGCTGGCACCATCCAGTACAAATTGTATTTCTTAGCACTTCAAAGTTCTGGCGCCCCAGTTCTTTTTTTTGTCGAGGTGTGCTTTGGTCAAAGGAACCGCTAGCCCGACTAGTGTCTTTGAAGGCACACATGGAGGCTGAAGAAACCTATTATTCAAATTTGCCCTGGGAGCAGGTCAGCCAACAAATGATCTTTTTGAATGGCATAGTGGGCAGAGCCCGCACAAAGAACAATTTCCTGGGCAGCGCAACCTCTTTTCCACCATGTTGTTCCCCTTGGCTAAACAGCTGCCTCACAAGGTTCAGTTTAGGCATGAGGTGGTTCCCAAGCAGTGGCACCCTGAAAACATGCACTTCTCCAGGCTCCCAAATTTCCGGTAGTAAGTTTCAATGTGGTGATACCCCCTCACCAAATTCAATCTAGGGTTTGTTAGGGTTTAAGGTTTGCAGGAGGTGCCCCTGGAATAATGTTTAAGTTTGGGATGAAAGGTTGTGCCACCAAATCCCTCACAAAGATACTGAAGCCTGATTCCCCCCTTTCAGGAAACAACTTTCCTGCGAGCTTCAGAAACTTGGTTTTGATTCAGCAAGTTTTGCTTTTAGCTGGTGAGCAGCACACCTTGGGCCCCAAAGTTTTAAAACAAATCAATCTTGAGGTGGTACCCCAGATTTTTTGTCAATTCACAGTGGTAGTTTGTTCAGAAAAATTGAAGACTTTGTTGTCGGAGTTAGGGTTTAGGGTGGTGAGGAGGTGGTACCCCTCACCGAGTTCAATCTGCAGTTGCAGTGTTGCCCAAACCCTATTCAGGAGGAAACATGGTTGGCTACATGAGCATCTTGAAGCGGCGCAATTGGAGAAATGCGCAGCTGGAGCACTATTGAGAAACGTTAGCGGAGATCCTTCCAGACCCTGAAGTAGAACATTCAACAGCAAAATGCAAATGGGAAACAGCTGTCTATGTTGCTCATTCCCTGTTATGTTTCTGGCCTTACAAACAGCAGAAACGCTTTGTTTTCACTAATTTGTAGTGGGGTCGAGGTTATCTTTCAACTAACTTGTCCTTGCTTGACAGTGGTGTGGCCACTGTCAATTACTTGGGGCCCGGTTGAATCAAAAAATGTCCATGCGCTCACAAGCAAATGAAGGTGTGGGTTTATTTAAGTGATCAGAGTGCGTGACAACCTTGAATTTGGTCATTGTACATGAAGATACATGAACATTGCACGCAAGACACACTCACTTGTTGGGTTTGCATGCTTTTGTTTAAGTGATCAGAGTGCATGACAACATTGAATTTGGTCATTGCACATGAAGATACATGAAGATTGCGAGACACACTCACTCGTTGGGTTTGCATGCTTTCTTCTGCAGCGTGACGTGAGTGCTTCTCTCGAAACTTGCGGCAATACTCATTGGGCGACAGACATCGACGTTGTGGCTTTGGCCACAGAGCTCAACCTTAGCTTTTCCTTGCTGGAAATGCTTGCCGCGGTCCGAGGAATGGTGGGACAACTTAAGATTGTTCAGAGTTGTAATACATCTGTGCTCGCTGGTGTTTATGAAAAGCTCACGAGGGTTTTGGAATATAATTGGATGATCTAGATAATTCTTCTTGTTGATGCAGGTGAGATGCAGCATGCAACACACCTACTTGCAACGAAACCAGATGCCACAGTTCAATGCAAATGTTTGTCTCGTGACGATGTGGATACGCCGGAATCTCTTCGCCAGTAAACCTGATTTGAATGCGGAACGAAGACTACTGAATGCTACGGAGCTTGGTGGTGGAGTCCCCAGCGCACGATGCCTTGGTGGTGGAGTCCCCAGCGCATGATGCCCCTGGTTTGCCTGGTCAAGTGGATGACGAACCTCGACGTTAGCGTGCTGGACCACAATTAAAGTGACACATCGGTTATGTCTATTCTGCAGACACTCGGTTTGCATACGTAGCTATTCGAACGTGTTTGCAATCGGGTTCGTGGGCTCGATCTTGTTTGAGGTTTATGTACCAAATGTGTCCCAACATGTTAGTTCAAGTCTCTCGCAGTATTGTACTTTATGTAGCGTATTTACATTACATTTTATGTACCAAATGTGTCAAGTCTCTCGCAGTATTGTACTTTAAGTAGCATATATACATTATGTTTATGTACCAAATGTGTCCCAACATTTTAGTTCAAGTCTCTCGCAGTATTGTACTTTCAAGTAGCATCTATACAGTATATATATACAGTAAACTCTCGACATGATCCAATCCATTTCCATGAACTTTTCATCATAAGGCCACCATTGTTGGGTACCCAACATATTTCAACTGTGTCCATGTGGCACTTTTTGAGTTCCCGGTCTGTCGCAGTTTTGGAAACTGTAGGAAGTTCCAGCCTGTTTAAATTTGGACTGAGTTTGGGGTTCCAGTCTTGACCTTAGAAACATACTCAAACTTCAATTATCATTGTATAAACCTTTGGAGTGTTATCAACAATGCAATGCAGCAGCGAAGAACACACTGCTCGTTGCTTGAAGTCCACCACATAGGTAATTTATCCCAATCGATGGTTGTTGAATCCCAGTACTTATGCACCATGGGTCATGGGTCCGCGCTCGTACTCTCATGAGATCATTGCAAGTTGACTGAGGCATCCGAGGACTCAGATAGAAGGTATGCAGCAAAAGGTGGCGCAACAAAAACTAGCGGGTGGACACAAGATTGTCAAATGAACCAATTGACTAGCGTGGCTGTGCGGACGGGAAAGCATTTCATGAATTGGGATTGGATGAATTCTACTGAAATGGGCGGGAAATTTAAAACGGGGATGGGATGGGACAGTGGGAAATGAGATGGTATGGTATGGGATGGGATGGCATTTGGGTAGTGGGCAATACCAAAATGAGATGGGGTGGGATGGATTCTTATGAAATGGGATGCCCGGATGGAATGACTGGAAGAGTTGCTAATTAATATCCGAATCTGGCAGTTTGCTTATAAACACGATTACCTGCAGACGATCTAGTTGAGCTAGTACGTTAGCTTTGACGTGTTGTGTGGTGAAGCACCCAGTGAACAATTTGTAGGTTGCTCAACTCAAAATTACTTTACTTCAAGCGGTATCACCCTGAGGGCGATTTGGAGGCAGGCAGGGCAGATGTATCGACTTACTATCCTGACAAACGCATACACAAAGGCTGGGGTATTTATTCAGGAAGGTGTTCTGACGTCCTTGTGGCCATGTGCTCTGACATTGTCCTGCCGTGAGAGTCTTACATGAGTTCTGACATATCTTCTGGCATGTACTTCTGACATCCAACGTGTGTTGTGTTATATGGTCCGACTTTGGTTTTGATACGTGTTCTCTGTGTATTCTCCTATCTGGCATATCTTTTGGCATTCCATCTGGAATATCTGCTGGCACTCAGACAGGCATATCTTCTGACTTTACTTTCTAACTGGCATATCTTCTGATTTCCTTTCTGGCATAGCTTCTGGCATTCCAACTGCCATATTTTCGGACATCCTATCTGATGTTCAATGCGGCATATGTTCTGGCATTCTATCTGGCTTATTGTCTGACATTCTTTCAGGCATATCTTCTGACGTTTTAACTGGCATATCTTCTGACATTCTGAGTGGCACGTCTTCTGACAGCCTTTCTTGTGGCATCCTTTCTGGCGTCCTGTCAGGCATATCTTCTGGCATTCTATCTGGCGTGTTGGCTGCCATTTCTTCTGATGGGCTCCCGCTCTCTGTGGTGCGCAGGTCCACGCAAGCAAGCGCTTGCCCAGAGGAGCTCTTTTTGGTGCGCATGTCCATGCGCGCCCAACCTGACCTGGCGGGCCCGTGCGTGCCCAGGTCTGTGCGTTCCCTGTCGCTACGACATGGCGACATGGCAGGAAGAGTATAGGAGGAGAGAGAAGACGGAGTAACACCTTTTTAAAGTCCAAGTCATAAGACCCTCACCTGGCAGGTGGGGAGCAACCACCTCTTTTGCTGCTGAAGAGTGCTAGCCCTGGCAGAGCTCTTCACACCGGTGCCGTTTCGCCATTCCGCCCGTTTGAGTGGCGTGATGAGTTGCACGATCCGTCCCAGAACGACACTCCTTGTTGAGCGTATGGAGCAACGTAAGTTCTTGCACCGTCCCTGAGGAGGCAAGGGTTTGCCACGCACATGATGACTTCTGGCTTGCTATCCCCGAAGCGGTTTGTCCATTCTATTCACAGTCTGCCAATCTAATCAACGATGCAGTTCCTTTCGTCGGACACAACAGCCCAGAGGTTGACCGAGCACCGCTTTTTCAGATGCCTGGTAGGTTCGTGTTTGCTCAACCGGCGGTGAACCGGTTGAGATCTTCCCTCCACCCCACCCGGGGTGCGTATTTGGATTGAGGACATTTGCATTCATCGGACCACCAGGCTGACGCAATGCATCTGCCCATGAGACTATAGGCCCATGAGTTTGCGTGAGACACTGAATACGA